TATCTTGTTTGTACAATTTGGGTCTTCTGCCATGTTGAAAAAGACATTATCAGTGAGTTTTCTTGAGAATTAACTGTAAATTGGGAGGAAGTAAGCAGAAAGGAGTTATAAGGTGAGGAAGATGTATGGGAGGAAATACTGAGTTGTCATTTGAAGGTAAGTATCCTCTCAGTGTAACACCACAGATTTCTTACTCAATTCCCAAGATGTTTTTTGGGGGTAATGAATTAAAAAACAGCAATGTTCTAGATATACAATAAGTTTTGATGTTTAACAAAACCATCAATACACAAACCACAACCCCAGCTCACCAGCATAGTGATCAGAAGCTGTTTCTGTGCTTTTTAAATGCAGCTGGAAATTAAACAACTTGATGTTGGTGCTGTTGAAAAAGATGCTACATCTTGAACCAAAATTATCAAAATATAATATCATGGGATGAGGATATTTTAAATGATACTTAATAAGAATTCTTTAAAAGAACAGCATAAAAATGAAACCCAACAGAGGACCTAAGTCATAGAATTGTGTGATTACTCAAAAATTATCTAATATACCTATCTATTTCTGTAAACTGGAAACTGATGACCAGAGATACAAAGTGTCTTAGCCTGGACACAGCCAGTTCAAGGCACAGCTGAGTAGGAATCTAGGTATCTGGATTCTCAATCTAGCTCTCTTTCCACTTCTTCTTTTTAAACTTTCACCTTCAGTAGAAGAAGCAAAACAGTTAAGTTATTGCCCACCCCTGCACTCTTGGTTAATTAGTTAATTAGAGGTTGGGGAAATCATATGAGAGAAAAACATGGAGTTCTCTCACTCACTTAGATGTTCTTTATTCAGTAGCATAAATGTTCTCAGAAATTGTAGTTTGGGGCTTTGAGCTTGAGAGAAAGCCAGAATTTCTGCTGCCAAACTCTCAAAAAAAAAAAAAAAATCTATAGCCATTAACTGGAACCCGGATGCTGCATTAGCAGGCTACACCAACAGTTTAATGAGGTGCCCCCGAACAGGGTGATCAATAGGGAGTTCTGCTGGGGGTGGCACATCTCCTCAGAAACTCACCTATTCTCAAAGACAAACGCAGAGGGCATGGTGGGCAGTCAGAGAGGCAGGGTGAATTAGTGTCAAGGAACATCTTTTATTCATGCAAGTAATACATCAGAGGGAACTGAGTGTGGCTTAGTTTTTTTTGTCACAGAAATAAAATGAGAAGCACTGGAAAGTTGGCACTTTGTTAAAATGCCATTTATGAGTTGTGCAGTACCTATTCTGCACTCTGTGCCATTCTGTCTGCTTTACTAATGAGTCTGTTGGTGAGTTTAGGGGGTTACACATCTCTGGGAACTTGGTGGAATGAGGCTCACGGTAAGGCAGTCTAGTAGTTCTTCTTTTGCAGGTAGAAGACTGAGGAGTGATTTTTAAATTTCTGAACTAGTAGGGGGCAAGTATGGGGAGCTTGGCTGTTGTGGAACTGGAGCTCTCCCAGCACTTAGAGTGATGGATTTGTGCCAGTGAACAGTAGTGGAAGACCTCCAGCTGACCCAGTGGCAGTTACAGAACTATCCCCTCCCTTGACAGGCAGCGGCCCGGATGTGGGTAGGTCACTGCACGGCATGTTTCTAGGCTCAGTAGCTCATAGCCAAGGCTGGTGGGACTCAGAGACAAAAGAAATCCACCACTGATTTCACCATTTATGTCTCTGTCCCCTTATTTCCCTCTTCTTGGAAATGGTAGTCATAATACCTTTCCCACAGAGCTTCTGTGAGGAAGAAATTAAAGCCTACTCTAGTTAGTGTGCTTGTCTGTGGCAGTAAGAGGCCGGCTGCTAGTCAACCCCTGGTAAAGTTTCCGTGGTGTTATAGTTTGGATCTTGAGTATCCTTGTGTTAAAGGCTTGGTCCCCAGGGTGATGCTATTGGGAGGTGGTAGAATCTTTGAGAGGTGGGGCTTTTCGGGGTTGAAGTCACTGGGGTTGTGCCCGCAAAGGGGATTGTGAGACTCTGGCATTTTGCTTTCTCACTTTGGCTTCCTGGTCATGAGGTTAGCAGTTTTGCTAACTGCATGCTCTGATGTGATGTGCTACTTTACACAGACCTACAACATTGGAGCCCCACAGATTATGGACTAAAACCTCTAAAACTTTGAACCAAAATAAACCTGTCCTCTTAATTATCTCAAATATTTCAATATGATGATGGAAAGTTGACTAAGACACTTGGCCTTAGGAGCCTTGGTTCCTTCACATGCAAATTGAGGCTCCGTGGAAATTGCATCATTTACATATTATAACTATATGAACCTTGCAGAGAGAGAGGGAGGGAGGAAGGGGAGAGAGAGTTTAAATAGTGCAGGTGCCTACTCACGTGCCCACTCAGTGAGCATAAAACACAAGTAAGCAATAGTGGGAGGTATAAATCTAATATTCTTCCAGTAGGTCTCAGTTGCTACATTCTATACATGGTGTGAATAGTCATAAGCAGTATGAATCTGGTGTTGGTCTAAGTGTAATTATGTATGGATATATATAAATAATGTAATAAATGTATATAATATATATATATATATACAGCACACACATATGTATACATATATATGTGTGTGTGTATGTATGTGTGTGTGTGTGTGTATATATATATATATATATTTCCCCCCCCCCCAACAATATGACACCCAAACATAACCAGCTACCAATTGAATAGTTCATCAAAGAAGCAGCCTCCTCTTCTAATGCGGTCACAGTAACTGAATGATGGTATTATGCTGATCTCCAACAAAATTATCTCCCATGGTAGCTTTGGCTATGGCTGACTTGTCTTTTCCTCCGACTTTAGCATGTAATCCCGAATGAGAACACTTCCCTTAAATGTCTCCCAGCCAGGAGAGTTGTTATGTGGATCAGGCAAGATGTGAAAGTACTGTGAAAAGGGCCAAAGCTGAAGGCAGATGCAAGATGTTGTTTTTCATAATTTCTTGATTACAACTTCTCTTTCAGGTTTTGGGTATATGGATCCAAGTGGGTTTTTTCATTTTTGTTTTCTAGGACTTGATTTTTTCCCACCAAGGCTACCAAAACTCTCAGTGGACAGGATTATGGGAGATCTTTGGGGGTAATCGCCACCTTGCCTTTGGGTGTCGTTAGAGGACAGGGATGAGAGAAATCTGTGAAGCACTCCAATCAGGGATCAGGGATGGAGTCTGGAAATTTAGAGGTTTGATCTGCTCCATAGGTGAATATGAATATGTTAGAAAAACCATAATGAAAGGGATTAATTGTGTGTCTATGTTTAAATGAGAGTAAAAAGAAGCAAATATTATTCTTGCATGAAACTCCTGAAAAGTCTCATTTATTGTTAATGTCCACTGTATTTCTAGTGCAGAAATGCAATGTTGGAAGCCAACAATGTCTTTTCAGGTGTTTCTTACACATTTCTAGGTCTTAGTGATTCTAGGTTCTAATGAGGAGCATATAACTCATTTGACAAGTATCAGAAAATAGCTATTTTCCAATTTTGGAAGTTTTAGTGGTAATTTGAAAGTTCTTTTTAAATGAATACAGAACAAAATAGCAATGGTACCTTTTCAGAGATGAGCAGGCTAGTGAGAAAAATGATAATTTGGATTTGGATGATTTTGGAATTTCCTTCTTCTTTTTTTTTTTTCTTCAAACACTTTCCAAAAATCTTCAGGACTCTGTAAATTTTGATATTTAACCACTAACAGGACACTTTCAGGGTTGGTGGCTTTTAAAAGAAGTTCAGGTAGTTTCTGTCTACTAAGTTGGGCCTTTTGAATTCCTCATTGGCGTAATTCTTTCCTGAAAAATTTTTGGACAGAAAATGGATTTTCAAAGACTATTGTTGAGTCTCATAGTGATTTTGGTACACTTGGGAAAGATGAAGCAAAACCAAAAGAAAACCTCTAGGAAGTAGGGAGTGTGTTACAGAGCCAGTGTAGAGCTGAGCTTAGTGGGAGAAGGAAATAACGACTGTAGAGAAAAACTGAAGCCACTTTAGGAGACAAAGTGGATGCAAGGAGCAAAAATGGACAGGACTCCACCCAGGGTGGAAACCAATGTCAGAGTCAAAGGCCAAACCAGAAGGTGGGCAATAAAGCCATAGTTCTGGAATAGTCTAGGACTCAGGAGACTTCTCTACTAAGTTTCAAAATAATAGGACATCATAAGAACTGGGCTCACATTCTGGCTCTTCTACTTGCTAGCTATATGGCTATGATCAAGTTACTTAAACTTCCTGATCTTCAAATTCCTTATTTATAACTTATGTTAATGATGAGGTGCATGAGTGAGTGTCTGGTATAATTACTGCTCATGTTAGTATTATTACCATATGGTCCTCTGCCTCACCTAATAAGTCCTGGGTATGTGAGTAAAGCCAGCTTGAAAGGCAGACCTGGATTGGCCAGTCACTCTGCTCTTATTAGAGTTGGCTTTCCCACAGGTGACTACAATACCCTGTCAATCAAACCCTGGCGGGATACTCTCCATTAGTGAAGCCTATACAACTGCTCCTCATTTGTCTTCATTTTCTCGGCATCATGACCTGCTTGATTTTCTCATTAACGGAGCATTTGCTCAGGAATTATTTTCTAGAGGAATTTAGCCACTAATCCCCATTATGATAGCAAAATCAACAAGAAGCCCCCCTGTGTCAGTCAGGGTCTCAGCAGGAAACAGATGGCACACTTGAATTGGATGATTTGTGGAGAGTGGCATAATTGAGGAAAGCAAGGCAGGATGTAGAGATACTACTCAGAGAAGTACAGAAAATAGGATCAACCACTGAAATGTATTCTTTCTATCCCAACCCTGAAAAGAGAAGGGGAAGACAGGTTATCAGAATCTAGAGATAGTGAGAGAACTCCCCTGCTTGTGTTGTAAGCTCTGTTTGAAGGATGGAAACCATTTGAGGCAACCCTGCATGGAAAGAGCTAAAGGAATAAATAACAAACTTCTTTTTCTTTCTTCCCTCTGATCTCCAGCTTGTGTTCCCTCTTGACCAAACCCAATGGAAGGCAGAGAGCAAAGGAGTTTGAGGACTCCACCTGTGCAAGCTGATCTCCCAGACACAGCGTAGAGTGGAGATGGGTGGAAAGCCAGTCTGGAGAGACACAGAGAAGATACTCTGCTCAGCCATTCTTAGAGGTCCTCAGCTATTCAAGTGTAGCCAGGGTAAGTATGTTGGATCTAGAAAGTGATGTTTAAGATATTTAATAGGTGATTGCAAGATATTTGTTATAAAAATAAGTTTATTGAATCCTGGGCTACCTTAGAGAACTCAGTGATACCAATTGAGAATCAGACAGACCCGAGTTCTGCTCTGGCTCTACCACGTGTTATCTCTTATATGCTCTTGATAAGTGATTTAAATCCTCTCAACCTTAGTTTCCTCACCTGTAAAATGGGACTAATGGTACCTCCATGAGAGTTGTCACAGTATTAAATGAAATACTAAGTGAAAATACATCCAAGTGGCCTCCACACTGTATACCCATATTGTAAAAGAGGAAACAGAGAGACTGTATTTGCTGTCCTTTTATTATCAAAGAATTATGTTCTGTTCCAGGTGAAAAATTGCAACTCTGGTGAGCACAAACTCGGATACGTTGAAATCTATGTGGTGTTCTGTTAAAATATGGCTTTGGTCCTCATTGGGGAGCCTAAAAAGTATTATTTGAAGTGAAGATTGTGTATTAATTTATACCTATGGAATCCTTGTATGACATTTCCAAATCTGTCTGTAAGATAATGGCTCTAAATGGTTTATAGCTTTAAAAAAAATCTAATAAATATAGTAACTTTGTACCTCAGTGTAATGAAAAAAGAGATGTTTTGGGATATATCATTCCTCATTGAAATGCATTACTGTTTCCCACAAGCATAAATCTTAGAACTGGATATCTTCTGTAGGCTCATTTCTTATAGGAGAGTCCCTGAATGAATCGACTCTGCAAGGCTGTTCTCCACTTGCATTCCCAGCCCACAAAGACCAGAGACTGGCTAAGACTAGAGCCCAACACAGAATGGCCCGGGCATCGGGGAGACATCTCACAGAGGCATTTTCCATACTGAACTTAGCCTCCTATACACTGTTCCGACAGGGCCATTTCATCACATTCTGCCTCACTCCCCCAGGTGTGTTTCCAATCTCCTGTAATTTTATCAAAACATGTGAGTCCGGATTTTCTATAGACAAGCTTCCTTCATACAGAACACTAATGATGGAGACACAGATAAATCCCAAATAAGTAATTCTAAGTACACAGAGTTTGATGGGGGTGGGGTGGGGGTCCCAAGGAAGGGGATGCACAAAGGAGGAGAAAAGAAGAAGGGGAGCAGGAAGCCTCTGACCGGTCACAATGTGGACACTGCAGGAATCCAGATGCAAAGGGAATTGAGCAATTTGGCTAGTAAAGGAAGAATCTGGGCTCTACCTAAGTTGCACATTGCTCTACAGTGAAGTTCCCCTTACACCCTGACCTGTATCTGGAATGATATTTGTATGCCCTATATATTCCCATAGACGTAACCAGCATTTTATGCCAGTGCCCAAAACACTCTCTTTTCCAAAGCTGAATGTGAGTGAAGGTATGGTACACAAAGAGAACCATGGATCTGTTCCAACATCTATAAATATTAATATGTGGGCATGAGCATCTAAAAATAAGTTGGCTGTATCTTCAGACTCTATGCAGATGAGAATATAACCACTTCTGTCCACCTCTCCAGCAATTATCTCGGTATCTCTCTTGGATTACACCAAGAGCCTCCTAACTGGTCTTCCTGCGGCTGCTCCCTGTTTTGTCTAGTTTACTCTTGACACAGCAGTCAGGATAGTCCTTTGAAAATGAAAGTCAGGTCATGTTACTCCTCTACAAAACCTGTGCCAGCTCCCCACTTCATTCAGAGTGAATTCCAAATCCTGGAGGGCCTACCAGGCCCTTCTGTGATCCAACCTCTTGAGTCTCTCTCCCAGTCCTTGCCCAGCCTCTCTGCTCCAGCCAGTCTCGTCTCCTTTCCGATCTTCAAATAAATTCAGAACACTCCTACCTTAAGGCCTTTGACCAGCTGTTCCCCATCTCTGAAACATCTCTTCTACCTGATTTTTGGATAGACAACTTGCTCACCTCCTTCCTGCCTTTTTTTGGTTGCCAGTTTTTCTTCCAGGCCTTCCCTGAGCACCCTATTTAAAAAGGCAACCCATTCAACCCCCTCCCCACCCCCTTCCCAATACTTCTCATTCTTTTCTCCCCAAGTGATATCTAGGGAAGCACCTCTCATTTAACATACTGCACATTTCTATTTATTATATGTATTGTCTGTAATATGAACTCTACCAGGGAAGGAGCTTTTGTTCGTTTGGTTCTTGATGTATCTGCAGCACAAAGAAAAATGTCCAGTGATGAATAAAGAATATTGCTTGAAAGGAATATGCAAATTTATCCAATAGGCATTCATTGAGTATCTACTCTGTGATGGTATGTAGCCAGGTGCTGAGACAACTTGAGGAGCAAAGGCAGATGTAGTTTCAGCCCCCGGGCAGCTTAGAGACTGGTGGCAAATCAGAGACATTATTAACCCGGTCACATTAGTGCTCGAGTTGGCTCTTGTGCTCAGATCTGAGTACCCTGTCCCATCTCACATTTTGATTAAGAGACACCAGTTGAGCATGGCTGTTATCAAAGAAAAAAAAAAATATGCAAGTCTGAACATCAGTAAGGAGGGACTTCATTAAAGCAGCACTGTCACAATGGGAAGGTGCTCAAAACCTAAGTCAGAAATGTCCCAGGAAAGGGATGGGTGAATAAAGCCTTTATATCCAGAGACAGTGGGAAGTTTGGAAAGAGGAAGGGGGAGGTGCTAAAAACTTCTAGGGAGGGTCTTAACAAATAGCTCAACTATTATAGTAGAAAAATCAAGGCAGGGAATGTTTGTGACTGGTCACAGGGGCAAGGCGTGCGCCCGAGGTGGAGCCAACAAGATACAGAAAAGGAGTTCTGGGCCTGTTTTAGGAAAACCAGCCTCAATACTTGTCATGCTCAAAGTCTGATCTGCCTTATCCGCATTCATAGGAAAAAGTTAAGGCTTAACCATAAGGCATCTGATGGTTGTGTCCTTTCTTAATAATTTCTCCCTTTAGAGTTATATAGACTACTGTAGGAAGAATGAGTGTATGCAATTCATTTTTCATTACTATAAGAAAATACCTAAGGCTGGATACTTATAAATAAAAGAGGTCTATTTAGCTCACAGTTTTGGAGGTCCAAGGATGAGGGGTTGGTTCTTTCTAGCAGTCTCCAGACAGTGCCAGTTATCACATGGAATGAAAAAGGGAACACACAGTTGTGTCTTCTACATCCTCCTCTGGTCTCTTTTTCTTCTTCTAAAGCAACCTGTTCAATCACTGGGGGCTCCTCTCTGATGACCTTGTCTAATTCTAATCACCTAATTCTAATCAAAGGTCCCACATCAAAACAACATATTCAGACCAAGTTTTTACCCCCTTAATGCCTCGCCATGTGGATTAAATTTCAGTGTGAGTCTAGGGGGACAAACCATATTCAGACCATAGCAGTGATGTATTAAGGCATCAGAAACAGGAAAAGTACAAATTTATCTCCTGTGACTGTTGACCACTAGGTTGCCAACCACCACGACGAAGTCCCCTCAGACAGTGTTTGTGAATGTCACATGTACCCTGGGTGCTAGGTCATGAGCATAGTGATAGACACACTGCACCAGGAAATCAAAGACATTCCCTGGAATTTAGTGCTGAAATCATATTTTAGAAACCACTATGGGAATCCTTGAGCTTTCAAAGTGGCCTCAGTTTTTACCACCCGATTATGCTATGTACTTATAACAAACTCTATGCTTTTAACTGAACACTGCTGGCAGTGCTGAGATACCAGCTCCGTGTTGTTAAGCAAGCATTATTGAGGGGTATATCATGCATATAAACGCTTTAGGTAAAAGATGAGAAAACACCAATTAATATCAAAATGAATCTGCTCAATGAGCTGTAAAACTTGCTGTTCTTTCGGAGGCATTAAGCCTACTGTAAACTGCTACCCAAGAACTGCACTTTTATCGTGAAAAATACTTCTCACAGGAGGCCTTCAACTAAACCTTAGATTTTATTTGGGAAAGTCAGTGGCTGCTCCCAACTCTAATCACACATGCTTTGGCCTCTTATAAGTACATCTGGCATTTAGACTGTGAAATACCCTACTGGGCCTTGAATTCTCTGACTGAGTTACTGATAAATTCACTGAAATGTGTACCAGCCTTTAAAATAAGTCCATAAAAAAAAAAACGTGTCTCCATCCTGAGTTATATAGTTGTTCTGGTTGAAGAGCTTTGCATTAGAGGCAGGGAGAAATGCAGGGAGAGGGCAGGGACAGGGAATGAGAGGTAACTCTGGGGTGTTCCCAAGATGTCCCTGTCACTGTGCTTCTTGTGCTACGTGTGTCATGGCATTCACTGCCCACAACAGCTTTGTGATGAAGGAGGATCCTCTTTTTTTGTAGAAGGAGAAACAGAGACACAGAGAAGACAATTCGTTTTCCCAGTCACCCAGCAGAAGTTTGAGTATAGATCTGTCTGATTTGGGACCAGGCTGGAATTCTCTCAGTTCCAACTTCTGTGCTGTCATTTGATATGTGGTCTTGAGCAAATCACGTGGCTGCTTTGATTTTCTGTTTTCTTGATTGTAAAATAGAGATAATGCTGTGATTCACTTCACGAGGGCGAAAATTAAATCTACATGAAAGCTCTCTGAGAAAATGTTAGGAACTGTTATGCAGCTCAGTGAATCTACATTTTTTTTTTTTTTTTTACCTTCCTGGAATGTCTGCTATTGTCCTTTTGGTTAAGGTATATACAAAAGATAGACCTTTGCAGGGACACTCGTCTGCATGGAATGTTTAGCCAGAACCCAGGAACACACCCTAAGCACAGAGACTCTTATTAGAGGCACAAAAGGACAATGCATCTATTATTTACTAATTAGACCATTTTTTAAATTAATGGAAGTACTTTAAAGGTATCTTTTTCTTCTTTTTTTTTTCCTCTTTCATAGGAGGGAGGTTATGCCCTTGAGAAAATTACTTGACCCCTTTGAATTTGTTTCCCTATTAGTAAAATGGTAACAAAGACACAACCTCAGATTGCTTATCCTCTCATTTATTCCACAAATATTCTAAATGCCTGCTCTGCAGTGGCTTTGTTTCAGATGTTGGGAATACAGCAATGAACAAAACGAACAAAAGTACCTCCCCCTTACATTCTTTTGTAGATAAAGACAAGAAATAAGAAAGATAAGAAGAATGAGGAGTCTGTTAGACAGGGACATGCATATGGGAAAAAAAAAAAGGAGCAGGAAAGGAAAAGGAATTGTTAGGGATGGAAAGATCATCCGTGCTTTTAGACTTGGTGGCTTAGAGGGTACTAGGGTTTGGCATTCCTTCAAAAGTCATATGTTGGTGTATTGAAATGTCGCAATCTAACTCATAAATATGTGCAATTCATATGTGTCAATTTAAAAATAAAAATTACTTAAAAAATTCATATGTGAAACCTAATCATCAAGGTCATGGTATTCAGAGATAGGGGTTGGGAGGTGATGAGGTCATGAGAGCTTTGCCCATGTGGATGGGATTCATGCCCATATAACAGGGTGGGAGGGATCTATCAGTTCTTTTCCCCCTGTCTCTTTACCATGCAATGATGCAGTGGCAAGGTGCCACTTTGGAAGCAGAGAGTAAGCTCTCACCAGATGCTAAATCTACTAGCACCTTGATCTT